GCTTGCTGTCCTTGTCCCAAAAGTTGTACGCCCCATCCGACCCTGTTGTTGCGAACGTGCCGAATTGCTGCATGGAGTGGCAGTGGGGGGCGGGAGGGCAGGATATGGCAGGAAGGAGGGTGATAAGGGAGAGTGGAGAGACCGAGGTAACTGAGGGTGATGGACAAGGGGGACGAGTCAACCAGGCATACCTCACGAGAAAAGTCAATGCAAGTCAACCAGGCACACCTGACAGACAGGGCACAAGTCAGCGCAAGTCAAACAGGCATGCACCAGGTGCAAGTCAATAGCACTGACAGCGTCGATGTCAACACCAAGTCAACACAAGTCAACCAGGGAAGTGCCGCACCGGGTGGAAGTCAATTGCGTTAACCGCGTACATGTCATTCCCATCGCGGTGACACTTGAAGGTGAAGCTCCTCTGCTGCTGGTTCTCCTCTCAACGCCACACACAGCCCCACCAGCCCAACAGCACACGGCCTGCCCCACAAGGTAAAAGTCAACGCGAGTCAACCAGGCACGCATCTCACCGGGTGGAAATCAATCGAGTTAACCGCGTAGATGTCGTTGCCATCCCGATGGCACTTGAAGGTGAAGTTCTTCTGCTGCTGGTTCTCCTCCACGTGCTGCACGGCCACGCGCCCCTCTATGGACCCCACCAGGTACCCACTGCGGTCGGGGAAGGTCGCCACACAGCGCGTCTGGTACTTGAGGGGCGAGATCACCCGCTTGTACTCCGTCTGGTAGTGGAGGGGGTGGTGTAATGGGGTGAACAGGGAGTGACATTTGTGGCGTCTCAGATGTCACACACAGATGTCACACCCACAAGTGAGTGACACTGATGACAGCTTTCCAGTCGACTTTAAAAACGTCTCATCACACAGGGAGAGACATTGTGGGCGTCTCACATTCTGTGGCACCCACACATACACACACTTCCCCTCCAGAGTAGTCTAACACTTCCCCTCCAGAGTAGTCTAACACTTCCCCTCCAGAGGAATCTAACACTTCCCCTCCAGAGGAATCTAACACTTCCCCTCCAGAGTAGTCTAACACTTCCCCTCCAGAGGAATCTAACACTTCCCCTCCAGAGGAATCTAACACTTCCCCTCCAGAGGAATCTAACACTTCCCCTCCAGAGGAATCTAACACTTCCCCTCCAGAGCAATCTCACCTGTGGCGATGCGAGGTTGTACACGATGATGTGGCGATCCGCAGTGGCCACGACCATGAGGGGGTGTCGCACGCTCAGCCCGTACGGCCGCTCGGGCAGCGCCTGTGTGTGTGCAGGGGTGGCCTGGCGCGTGTCCCAGTACCTGACGGGCGGCAGGGGGGATGACGGTGGGGGAGTGGGGCGGGGGGTGGGAGGGGGAAGGAAACAAGTAACTGCTGAGCCTGTGTGTGTGCAGGGGTGGCCTGGCGCGTGTCCCAGTACCTGATAGAAGGCAGGGGGGATAATAGTGGTGGAGTGGGGCGGGGGGTGGGAGGGGGAAGGAAACAAGTAACTGCTGAGCCTGTGTGTGTGCAGGGGTGGCCTGGCGCGTGTCCCAGTACCTGGCGGGCGGCAGGGGGGATGATAGTGGGAGAGTGGTGCGGGGGTTGAGAGGGGAAGGGAAAAAAGTGAGTGTTGAGCCTGTGTGTGTGTGCAGGGGTGGCCTGGCGTGTGTCCCAGTACCTGACAGGCGGCAGCGGGGATGACGGTGGGGGAGAGGGGAAGGAAGCAAGTGACTTGTGAGTCGACCCTCTTGTCAATCCGAGCCTGTGTGTGGCCGGGGGTGGCCTGACGCGTGTCCCAGTACCTGACAGGGGGCAGAGGGGGGGAAAGGAGAGGGGGGTTGGGGACGTATGCATTAGACCACCACCATGAGGGGGTGTCGCACGCTCAGCCCGTACGGCCGCTCAAGGAGCGCCTGTGTGTGGGCTGGGGTAGCCTGGCGCGTGTCCCAGTATCGTCTTGTTCCTATGCCCGTCTAATGTGAAGCATAAATCAGAATACCCATCCCCATCTAAGCCTCGCACTCACTTGATCGTCTTACACCAGCTAGCAGTGACAAGCAGGTCCATCTCGGCGATCCACGCCATCTTGCACATGGGTGCATCGTGCACGCCCGCGTCCCGCCCACCGTGCTCTCAGTCACCCCGTCCAATCACTCTACGAGCCCTCTCACTCACTTGATTGTTTTGTCCCAGCTGGCGGTAACAAGCAGGTTCATCTCGGCAATCCATGCCATCTTGCAGATGGGTGCATCGTGGACGCCCACCGTGCTCGCTGCCCCTCCTGACATGAGCGGCCACATCTTGGCCTGCTTGTCACACCCGCCTGAAAACACTGTCGTGCCGTCGTCCTTCCATGCTGAACAGAGCACCTGAGCACGCCGGAGCAAGGGAGGGTGGGAGGATGGAGGGAGAGCAGGGGACGGGAGTCAGGTGTTGGCATGAGTGGCGTGGCAGGTGGCCACATCCTGACCTGCTTGTCACAGAAACCAGAGAACACTGTCGTGCGTTGTCCTTCCACGCTGAACAGAGCACCTGAGCGGGGAGCAAGAGATAAGGAAGGGACAAGTGTGGAGAGACGAGAGCGGAAAGCAAAGAGCAGAGGGCGGAGGACAGAGAAGCACAGTTGATAACGCGAGAAGGCGCTGGTCGCACGCACCTAGACGGGCTTATCACACCCGCCAGACTTGAACTGGATGGCATGGCAGAAGCATGAACTGATGTACGACGAGCAGCAGAGAGGGATGGAAGCGGCCACGGGGAAAGGCGGAAAGGGCAAGGGGGGACGAACAGGAACGCGAGAATACATGGCCCACAGGTGCGAGCGAGAGAAAGAATGAATACAGTAACGGAGGCTCTGGCAGTCACAGAATTAGGAAGATGAGAAGGCTGCGAGGGAAGGGATGGATGGCATTGGCACTCACGGGTTGGTCGTGTGCTGTTCCTGCCTTTGGCACGCTGGCTCCATTGCCCTGAATCTCCCAACACCGCACCTGGTGGCGGCAGGGGGGGAGGGTATGGGTGTGTGGAGACCATGGACGAAAGATGTGTGAGCGTGTGAGAACATTTGTTTGAACGAGTTGCTGCTTAGCACCAAGCCAACTCACATTGTAACTCCACAGTAACTGAAGAACAACAGCTTGTTATTATGACAAAGATATCCGACAGCACACGTCACCTGGTTATCCCATGACGTGGCAACGAGGAAGTTGGCCTTGGGGTTGAAGCACATGCTGGAGATGCCGTCATTGGGCGGCTGGGCCACCTGCAGACACGTGAATGGCAGGCACACGTCGGGCACGTGATAGGCACACGTCAGACACGGGACAGGCCCACGCCAGGCACAGGACAGGCACGTGATAGGCACACGTCAGACAGGCACACAACAGGCACGTGATTGGCACACGCAGGCACGAGGCAGGCACACGCCATGTACGGGAAAGGCATGGATGGGGTAGGTAAGGAGTGAACAGGACAATATTTTAATAGGCCAGTACCGAACAACCATAGGAGGATGACAGGGAGGACGATTGGGGGAGATGGCAGGGCTAGGTGACAGGGAGAGATGACGGGGGGAGGAGACAGGGGGGGATGACGGGGGGAGGAGACAGGGGGGGATGACGGGGGGAGGTGACAGGGGGGGATGACGGGGGGAGGTGACAGGGGGAGATGGCGGGGGAAGGTGACAGGGGGAGATGGCGGGGGAAAGATGGTGAAAAGCATCGACAGCAGGGAAGAAAATTAAGAGCGTTCCACACCCAATCAAGCGCCACCATGCTTCATCCACGGTGACGAAACACCCATTCCCTTTCCGAATCCTGGAATCTTGCCCGCCAGTGCTCGCTGTAGAATAAAACCCTAATCGAACGACGCTCAGCCTGCAATATCGCGAGCCTCGCTAGAGCGATCCGCTGGCGACGAGGAGGCTTGTCGCAGCAAGGAGGCGAGGACCGCGCGTGCTGAGTGCGAAAACTATAAATCAAGAACGATCAGAACCTAAACTCTGAGCTAGACGCTGAAGTGCAATGGCCACACGAGAGGGGTTCTTTGTTTGGGTGAGGACGGTACCTCGATATCCTTGTTGGGATTGTGCGGTTGCGTCGCTGTGACAGTCCCGAACGTCGCCATTACGAGGTTTCACGGCTGGCGACCGGACGTCAGGAAGGACAGCGGCACGTATCAAAGCGGCGACTTTATTTGAATAGGTTAAAAACGGTTGAGTGATGGCAGTTGCTCTTCAGAGATTACAAATAGAAGAAGTGGTGGGAAGGAGCGTGGGACTTGATTAGTCGAGTTTCGGGACGTTTCCAAGCTAGGGCTTGACCAACATAAGATAGAGGACTGGAGAATTTGGGTCCCACTACGATACGAGATTCAGCGTCCGGAGCACCGAGGCTTGCGTGCACAGACCCACGCACGAAACGAATCTACGGCGCCTTTTCCGAGCCCCCAGCAAGGCTGCAGCAGAGTGGCTGGTTGCGTGCAGAGTGATAAGAGCAAGGAAGCTCTTAGGTTATTCAGTCGCTGGTCGTCTGCGTTGGGCTAATTTCAAGGCGGTAAAAAAGGCGGGAGGGGGGTCAAGGAGCAACAGCAAGAAGCAGGCACAAATTGTCTGTATCATGCACATCATATCCTCCGACTGTTTAATTTAGTAATAAACAAACGCGAGCCTCTCAATAACAGCATTCCCGTTCACAAATATTTTCCTCCTCCTTTTCCCCTCCCCGCATCTATCAAGCAGACCTAGGTCCTGTCACATGCTGCCGACACGGACAGATACTGCGTTGCCTCTCGAATGCCAGCAGCAGTAGTTCCCATCAGACGAGGTCGCATCCTTGCCGCGCATTGCCGCCGGTCACGGTGTCGTGATTGATTGTTTCTTATCTTGTTCTCAGATGTGCATTGGCAACTGTTGAGGGCTACCCGTCTCTGTCAATTGAGCGATCATGTTGAGCGTGGTCGGCGGCGCCGCCGGTAACGGCGTCAAGGGTAACTCGCGAATAAACATGATCTACGTCTTTAATCGCAACGGCTGCATCTTCTACCGGGAATGGTATCGTCCGAACCCGCCGAACACGGACGACCACAAGCTCATGTTCGGGCTCGTCTTCTCCCTCCGCTCCTTCACCGCCAAAATGGATCCCATCAAGTACGCTAATTCTCCGCTGCCACCCGGAAATGGATCTTGTTCAGTGCGCAACCCCGCGTTCGTCTGTCTATCACTTCTTTGGTGTCACCTTGAATGTCATCCTCTTGAATACGCGAACCACTGTTTCTTCTGTACAACCGCAGATTAGGGCCCCTCCTCCATGTCTCACCTCAACAGTGTCGCAATTCATCTCAGCTCAATCATTCTCGTGAACATCTCAATTCATTTCAGCTCCTACTACCGTATCCGATTGGCCAGATTATGTCAAGATCCTGGCTATACCCACGTTCGCATTCCAGTCAGCATTCCTCCTCGGCCTTGCTCTCTTTTCATTCCCCGCTCCGATCTTCCCCCTTTCCATTCTTTCCCTTGTGTGGGCTTGTTTACTTCCGGTGGTGCATGTCAGTGGTGCATCAGGCGATGGCTGCTCCTTCCATTCCTTCCGAACCAACACTTACAAGCTGAACTACCTTGAGACCCCCTCAGGCATTAAGGCAAGTTTTGTAATGCCATGCACTCTCCAATGCTATGCATTCTCTTATAATCTTCAGTGTATATGGTGGCTCTTATTCTCCTCTTGTTTTTTTCCTCAAGGGTCCTGCCACTTTCACCTAACTGGAATTGTTTCTTTGCTTGCCAAGTCTGTTATGGTCTGTCTTTGTCTATGGTTTGTGAACTGCAGATAATACTAGTAACTGATCCGAAGATGAGCGACCTCCGGGATGCTTTGAAGCACATATACACCAACATATACGTTGAATACGTCATTAAGAACCCTCTTTATGTGCCAGGCGAACCTTTCAGGTATGTCAGGGAGCAGAATGAAGAGGGTGTTGGATGGGGGATGCTGAGAAACTAAGAATATAAATTTGCGCACACTTAGCGCATGCATGATGACACATCAATCGTGCGGTCTCTAAATTCGCTCGAACTAAAAAATTTGTGATCAGTGTCCGCCTCCAACGTGTACCACTCCCTTAAGGGCCGTAGGAGGGATGGAGAAGGAAGAAGGTAGTGAATAGGGAACACGGTCGAGAAAGGAACATTCAGATGGGTGAGGTGATGGATGAGATATCCCCAACGTGGCCTGGAGTGGATGGGTGGGTGGTTGCTGCTGTGTTATGTTTCATTCAGTTTTTTTGCTGTGTAATCCACCTAGAGAGGTAGAGAGATACGCCATACTAATCGTCGACTCCCTTTTGCCCCTCCCCCTTTGTTTACGATCTTGTTCGTTCATTTGTGCAGATGCGAGTTGTTCATAAGTAGTTTGGACTCTTATGTGACAACACTATCGTAGGCAACATCGTAATGTAAATATACTCTTCTCCTTCGCATCCTTTCAAATAGGGTTTAGTGCAGCTAAGAGGAATATTTCATATTACTTTCTTAAATGTTGTTGTGCGGAATAAAGGATTCATAACTGACTTGAAATATTTCCATGGGGTGTAGCGCTGATGTGGCCTTGTCAGCAAACCGGCGGTTCGGGCCGTGAGGGCGGCGGCTTTGACGAAATGTCAGGGTCCCGAGCAATTCGGTTGGGCCAACGGCTAGCAGAAGTACCTGACCTGACCCGAACCGCCGGTGTTTCCTCCCCTCACACCACCACCTTGGCTGGGTTGCACAGGATGGTTGACAGGAGGGACTCCATGAAGCAAGGCGGAATCATGTGAGCCACATCCAGGATTCAGCAGAAACGAGTGCGCAGGTTTACCACAAAGGAGTTTGCGAGTCTTTCCACAATTTGAATAACTATTTTTTCCCTGGTTAGTTTTCACTGACTGTTAGTCTTCAGACCCTTGCAGACTCATAGGAGCAGGAGTTGGTGGGCTCCCACGGAGCCAGAGCTGCTATAGTCGTAACTTGTAATTTGTTCTTATTCGAGCAGTCAATTGGAGAGGTAGCGCAGGAAACCGGTTAAAGCTCGGTTGAAGCGTGACGAGCGTGACGTCTTTAGCCTACACTTGAACGTCGTTTTAAGGGAGTAGTTAGCTGGCTTCCTAAAGTAATTCGCAGTTAAACGTCTATTTGGTAGCAGTATCAAACATCTCTGCTGGACTTTCACCGCCAGTTGATTTCAGAGATAGACATCCGTGTCTTACTTGGAGTCAAAGCACGCTATTCTCTGAGAAGCATCGAAACCGTGGGCAGGCTGAAAGATGGGGTTACTGTTGTCGAAGATCAGTCCTTTAGAGACTATCGAACATGTAAGTGGGAAACAATTTTAATAATCGCTTGCTGTTTTGCGCTACCTTTTGGCAAACGAATTTCAGTAAACATTCAATTTCAGCAGAAAATCGCATTTGTTGAGTGTCGTAACTTTATCAGCATCCAGTCGTTCGCTCTTACCGTTATCTCGCCCTTTTCCGTGTGACATTCTCGGTTCAGGCGAAGAAGCATCGAGCAGAGCCAGTGGTGTTGTCGGTATTGAGAGAGAACCTCGGGTAAGCTGCCCAACCGTTTCTAGTTCTTTCAACCACTCCTTTCCTGCACAGTCCTACTGGTCAGATTTCAATTATTGTAACTGACACTAAAATTTATAACCCCTCGTCTCGCTGCTCCCCGTTTTTCCTGTTTTACGCCCTCAGCAATGCGCACAACTCGGTCACTCTCTTCCCAGCGCGCGGCGCCATGAGCCACGACCGCCTTGTGTACTCGGGAGACCTGTCAGCCGAAGACTTCAGAGCTGTTAAACAGGTGAGGGGAAAAACTTCAAAGCCGGTAATCGTGTGAGACAAGGAACTTCACGCTTATTTGGTGAGAGCCACGTACAGGAAGACTTCAGAGGCGTCAAGTGGTTGAGGAATAGGCAAACGGAAAAACATTAGGGCCGGAAGGGCGAGAGGGACGACCCCGCGGCGTTAGACACACGAAGAGCGAGATTTGAGAGCCATCGGACAGGTGAGGAAGCGTCGTACAGAGACTTCAGAGCCTTGGTAAAGAAAAATCAAGAAGAAAGCAGGTCGGGGGAAGGCGAGAGGGATGATTAAATGGCTGCTGGGTTGGGTTTGGGGAGTGTGAAGGTGATAAGTGGTTGGTGCCACATGGACGGATGTCAGAGCTGACTTTCATTCTCATTGTTGCTTCACACCATCAAAAGCAATCCTGTGCTCGGTTCTACAAGCCCTGTTCCATTTCCTATTGTTAAAAGTGAGTTCGCTATGGCTGCAGATTCGCCCCCTATTGCGCCTGGAGTATCTCCGAGGTCAAAATGCGGCGAACATCAGGGTGCGTGTTTCCTGTGGGTGTGGATGTGTAGTCTTGTCCTTTTTTTCCGTGCTCTTCTATGACCGATTCCCAAGGCGGCTGATGGAATGATGGTCTCTGGTGATCCTCCTCTGATCGCAACAAGAGATCAACTGTGTTATTAGCTTGCTTCTTGGCGGCCCCACCTCAAAAGCAGCATACTGTTCATTGTTGCCTCACTGTGCTCTTGTCGTTCTAATGCTCTTGTTGTCTGGGAATGCAGCACGGTTTGACGGGAGAGGTTCTTATGATGGTGGTGACAGAGGCGAGTGACGGCGAGTGGAACCAAAGGCCAGGATTGAGTTTCAGGTGTGGGCTGGAGACCGAGGCTCGAGTGTACAGCAATGGGCTGCCAGTAGGAATCAACATCTCCAGCAACTACCTCGCGATCTCCCCACCCCCAGTCCAGGTAGGCTTGCCATCAAAACACTCACAGTGTACACCTTCAGGCAGCCATGGTTTTCCTGGAACGTTGCATGTAAAGGATGCAAGATGTATGCTCTCGCCTTGTGTCTGGCCTTTTGACACATTCGTCTTTGTGTGTGTGGTTTTAATTTCTCCCATGCAGCAAGATGGGTCTAATTTTGACTTTGGTCCATCCATGGTCGAATTGGTGAAGACATGGGAAAATCGAGCTCTGGTGCTGTCGCACAGGGAGCCTGGTGGCTATCCTGGGGCTAAAGTAGCTGCTTTCACTAAAGTGGGGGGTCACCGGGTATCGGTCTTCCGTTTGCTGGATAAGGGGGCCTTGGATCCAATCGTCGCCATTGCCCTTTCTTGGTTCAATGATGTCGAGACAACTTTGTGAGGACACAGCCACGTCGGCGAATGAGGGACGAAGGTTGCGATTAGACGGGGATAATTATGCTGCTAGCTAGTTCTTAGAAAGTACAGTTTGAGTTAGGTCCTTTGCCCAAGGGCCACGTAAAATGTTTTGTCTTCCTCTTTTGTTTCTTTTGGATGCTTGGTATCCACCCCTATCCCAGTAGTGAATAAAAATAATCCGTGGGCCTTCCAAGACGGGTACCATACCATCCCAGATTTAGGTCTTCTGTTATTGTTTTTGTTCCAAAGTAGAGTTGTCACATTCAGTGTTCGTGCCTACGTTTGACAGTGCTAAGCATACGATAAGAGCATTGACGTGCGTCCTCAGTCTTGAAAGTGCTGCAAACGAATGATGCAGAAACGCTTTTATTTTTCCGAGCCAGAAAGCAGCTTCGCAACAAGAGATGCTCGTTGCTGCTGGTAACACTTATCAGGTTCGACATGTTTCAGCGAATAATAATGGAGGCAGGAGGCCTCCATCCCCTGGCAGATATTCGCCGCTTCCAGTTCGGCCGCGGCTTTTGCGTCAGCGCAGCTGCAATTGTTCCTCCCCCCCGCGCGAACAGGATGCGCAGATTTTTGCGCGACGTGTCTCCTGCGCGGGGGCAATATTTGCAGGAAGGTGGGGTGGGAGAGGAGGGAGGGATGGCATGGTTGGGGGAGGGGGGGTGTTTTGAAATGCCGAGTGCAGAAATTACTACCCCGCCGTACTGTACCACTCTGGCTTGAGGTGACCTTCCCCGCTTGCTTTGCTTGCTTCCTTGGTTCCTGGTGTCCAGTCCAGGGTTCCCCTGGTTTCTCATGGTTTCCTGGTTCCGACGCTTGCCCCTGGCCTTGGTTTGAGGTTGACTGGATAGAGTTCTGCTGGTCAGGCTTTTGATTCTACGCGCAAGTACTGTAATTCCAGGCTACGAATATTCGCGCTGTGGGGCCTCCCACAGCTTAGTCCAGATCAAAGCCATTAGGGTTTCTTAAACGGAGTTGTCTCCTTAAGAGGCAGCCATGGGGTCCGAGCCCGTGATGGACCTGTTTAGGTCCGAGGAAATGCAGCTGATGCAGCTCATTATTCCCGCGGAAGCGGCGCATGACACTATTTCTTATCTCGGAGAGCTTGGCCTCGTCCAGTTTAAAGACGTAGGGTCCTAGCTGAGCGTTTTCCCCGCCGTTTACGGGTTGCGCTTTGTAATCGATTTTGTTCTCAGTAGGAGATAGCTCATATCGACATTTCCGCCTCACTTCTCTCTCCGTGCTTCACGTCTCTCGCAGATGAACCCGGACAAGAGCCCGTTTCAGCGGACATATGCGAACCAAGTGCGTTTCTTCTTTCCTCCTCTTGTCACAAACGACTTTCACCTGTCTATTTTTTCATGCCTTGATTGGAAATGGCGCTACCATCGCTGATCTGTTTTTTCTGTCTTCGTTGTGATCGCTGCATCAGGTCAAGCGATGTGGCGAGATGTCTCGCAAGCTGCGGTATCTGAAAGAACAGTCGCTGAAGGCCGGGATTCTCCCTACCCAACCTCGGACGCTCGACAAGGATCTCGACCTGGATGATCTCGAGGTCCGTCGTCTTAGACGGAAAATGTAGACGGAGACGAACCGACCTTCCATAGTGTCGGAGCAGTTTATTTATCCAACATTACGACAGACCTCTGTATATTTTTCTGATGGATTTTTGTATTTGAGAGTCGATGCCAATGTCGTGGATGCTCGCATTCTTGCTTATCGAGTGTTTTCCTTCTCGCTTGCCTATTCGCTTGCTTGCTTGCTTGCTTTCTTGCGCGTGTTGCGGTGCAGCTGAAGTTGAACGATCTGGAGGCTGAGCTCCTGGAGATCAACGGCAACGCGGAGAAGCTGCTCAAGACGCGCAACGAGCTCACGGAGCTCAAGCTCGTTTTGGAAAAGGTGCGAGCTATGCCGATAAGGTGACGACAAAAGGGATCGATAAGGTGCTGATGAGGGGTTGATAAGGGGGTTGATAAAGGTTGACAAGTTGCTGGTGGGGTGGGAGGGGATCGGGGTCGAGGGGAATGGGATGGGATGGATTAAAACTGTTGAATAGCTTCTTAAATCGCGCGTTCGGTTCGAAGTCATGGATCTCTGAATGTCGCGTGGTCGTCCTGGAATAGTCCTAGGTCGATGTCGTTCACGATAATGCGCGACAGTGTTGATCCATTGTATGGAGTACCGCTGTGGACAATGTGGGCTGATCCATTCCCGTCCTTCATGCATCCCGGACTTTTTCCTTCCTCGGCTGAACTTCTGTCCTCTCGTCCCTTGGTATCCCCGCTCACTGCTCCTGCTCTCATCCGTTGATGGTCGTTCTGTAATATCTTACTCTCATCCAACGCCTAGATCCACGCCCTAGGTCTTGTCGCTGTTTCCCCGTCACTTCATCTCCAAATATTCCTGTGGTAGTTAACGTTTTTTTTTTTGGCTATCCCTCTCTGTTTCCGATTCTTTGCTTGCGACGCCAGGCGGGGTCGTTTTTCGCGAGCGCCCAGATGGGCGCGGCGGACTATCAGCGGGAGATCGTGCGCGTGTCGTCCATCCGCGAGAGCGCATCCATGGACAGCCCTCTCCTGCTCGAGCAGGTGCGCTTAGCGTAGGATGCACTTTTTCCTCTCCTCGCTTCGCCTTCTTTTTATCGTCTCGCTTTACGCTCAGATGAACACCCTGCCTGCGCGCCTCTCGCCATTTCCCCCTCCCCCGCCCTGTTTCCAAGGAGATGGATTCGGATTCGAACAAACGCCTCCTCTTCGGCCAATACTCATTCTGCGCCTCTCCACCTCCTCCCTCCCCCTCTCTCCCTCTCTCCCCTTCTCCGGCTCTCCCCATCTCTCTCCCCCCTTTCTTCTCCCCTCCCCCTTGCTGTCACCAGGAGATGGCGTCGGACTCGAGCAAGCGGCTGGGCTTCGTGACGGGGCTGGTGCCGCTAAGCAAGGTCGTGACGTTCGAGCGGCTGCTGTTCCGCGCCACGCGCGGCAACATGTTTCTCAAGCAGGAGGTCGTGGATGAGCCCGTGCTCGACCCCGCTACTGGCGAGCAGGTGAGCTGGCGGGGCTGGGTGGGAAGGTCGCCGGTGCACAGCTGCGGGTGCACGGTTGCGGATCCATTGAATGTGGACAATCTTTCCGCGCCACGCGCGGCAACATGTTTCTCAAGCAAGAGTCGTGATCGAGCCCGTGCTGGACCCCGCCACTGGCGAGCAGGTGGATTCGTCTTTCAAACCTCCGAAGCAGCTCTTCGTCATGCAATCTCTTCTGGTGCCCTCCCTCTTCCCAACCTTGTTTCCCCCCTATGCGCGCTGGTGGAGAAGGTGGTGTTCTTTTCGTCTCGGGCGATCCCGCGCGCACCAAGATCGCGACTCCATTTTACTCATTCCAACCCCCTCACATGATCTACGTTCTCCGCCTCTCCCCTCCCCCCCCCCCCCCCCCCGCCTCTCCTTCCCGCCGAACCCTAATCGTGTTCCCCCCATGCGCGCAGGTGGAGAAGGTGGTGTTCGTGGTGTTTTTCTCGGGCGATCGCGCGCGCACCAAGATCATGCGGATCTGCGAGGCCTTCGGCGCCAACCGCTACCCCTTCCCCGAGGAGCCCGCGCGCCAGCGCCAGATGCTCGCTGAGGTGCGTGCGCTCGTGCCACGCCACTGCACTCAGGGGACCTTGGTCTCGACTCAGGAGTGTGATTCACCCTCTTAGGGAAGGCATAGTGCAGAAGATGCTCTCTGCGATGTGCCCTCGTCCATTCCACTTTCCCCCCTTCCCTCCGCCCCCTTTTTTTTCCGTCTTCCTCCGCTTCCACCTTTCCCCACCCGCGCCCCCCTATCCTCAATCTGCTCTCTCTCGCTTTATTTTCCCCCACCCTTTTCTCTCGTTCCCCACACTTCGCCACTCTCCTTCGCTTTTCGTTCCTTGCACCACGTTCCGTGTTCCTGTGAGGCGTCCTTCGCGCCCCCTCACGTGCACCTTCGCGTCACCCCCCTTCGCTCCTAAATCGTTCTCTTCCCTCGTTCGTTCGCTCTCCCCCTCTCCGCCTCCTGCAGGTGCGCGGGCGGCTGGGGGAGCTGCAGACGGCGATAGACGCGGGCAACCGCCACCGCGACAACGTGCTCAACAGCATCAGCGTCTACGTCGACCGCTGGACCTCGCTGGTCCGTGCATGCGCCATTCTGAACCCCTTTGCAGCTCTCTGCACCTTTCCGCTCATCTCTGGGTCTCTCGGGTTCTTTCTGGGTCTCTTCGGGTTTCTGGGCCCCGTTCACCCCTTCTCCCGTCTGTCTTAGTTAGCGCATTTTTCGCCGTTCTCCGGTCTTTCCTTTTCGTGGATCTTCACCCATCCACGCGTCTTTACCCCTTCGCCCGTCTTCCCGCTCCTGCGTGTTTGTTATCACGCGCACAACGAGAAGGGGACGTATCATGCTGTCAACTTGCTTCCACCCCCTCAATTCCTCTCGTTTCCCCTCGGTTCCCCACCTTCAACCTCAACCTCAACTCCACTTGCACCCCGTCACCGAAAGCTGGTGCTCCCTTACCCGCTAACAGTTCTGCCCTCCCCGGCTCTCCCCTCGCCCGTCCCCTTCCCAACCCCTCTTCTCCCATGCTCCACGACCAGGTGCGCAATGAGAAGGCAGTGTACCACGCGCTCAACCAGCTGCATTCCCTTTCGCCTTTCCGACCCCCGCCCCTCCCCTCCCCTCCCCACTCCCCACTCCGCTTCCCCCCTTCCCACCCCCCCACCACCAGGTGCGCAACGAGAAGGCAGTGTACCACGTGCTCAACCAGCTCTCCATCGACGTCACGCGCAAGTGCCTCGTGGCGGAGGCCTGGTGCCCCACCTCCGCGCTCGTCAAGGTACGCCTGCTGCCCAGCCTCTTGTTGTTGCCGACTTGTTCGCGAGGCCTGCCCAAGCCACTGTCTGTGCTTGCGTGCTTCTGTTGTTCAGTATTTTCTGTCATCGTTGTTCCTCCATGCTCGTTTACTTCTCCTTTGCCAGCCTCCCTTCTTTTCCGCCCTTCCGCCCCCCACCCCCCCCCCCCCGGTTCCATTCCTGCTCTTTCCCCTCCCCTTTCCTGCCTTTTCCTTGCTCGTGCCCCCTTTTCCGGCCCTCCCTCCCCCCTCGCCCTCCTCTCCTGTCTGCGTAAAAGTTCACGTGCAAATTGTCCTTGCTCTATCTGAAAAGTGCACGCCTGACAGTCGGACTTAACCTGTTCCTTCCCCTCTTTATTCATTGCTTTCTTTGGGCGCATGACCACTCGCACACATGGGATCATGCGCACGGGGAAATGCATGAGCATGCACATGCCATGGCATGGCTGATTTTTACATGGTGCACATGTCACTTGTTACATGGCGCATGCCACATGGGCTGTCACATTGTGGGCATGGCACACGGCACATGGCGCATGGCTGGGGCGCTTGAACACATGCATGGCGCATGGCGCACACGCATGGTACATGCGCATGGCACATGGCACACGCAATGCATGACTCACAACACCAGGTGCAGGAGGCGTTGGAGCGGGGCATGGCGGCGAGCAACGCAGCAGTGAGCACCATCTTCCACACTCTGCGCTCCCGTGAGGCACCGCCCACCTTCTTCCGCACCAACAAGTTCACCTCCGCCTTCCAGGCCATTGTTGACGCCTACGGGTGAGCTCACTCATTTGCATTACCCTTGTCATGCCCACGCCCAGGGTGAAATCCACGCTGTCCCTCTCCTCTCATTCATCTCTTTGTGAACCCGGGCGTGTTCTCCATGTGAGAAACACAACAATTGCGGATCGAGGCTTGTTCCTCTTCAAGCGTGCTCAGAAACAATCCTCAACGACCTTGTTCTCTCTCCACCCCTTTCCCCCCCACACCGTGCCACCACATCCCCCCTGACTGTCCCCTCCTTTCAGAGTGGCGCGGTACCAGGAGGCGAATCCGGGAGTGTTCTCCATCATGACGTTCCCCTTCCTCTTCGCCATCATGTTTGGCGACTGGGGCCACGGCGCCCTCATGCTGCTCGCCTCGCTCTACCTCGTGCTCAACGAGAAGAAGCTCGGCTCCCAGGCACGTTGGGTTGGGGTGATGTGGCTCCCAGGCACGTTGAGGTGACGTTAACGCATTTGGGCTCCCGGACACGTTGGGGTGATGTTGACGCATCTGGGCTCCCAGGCACGTTGGATTGGGTTGATGGGGCTCCCAGCCACACTAATTTCTTCCTCCTCAATTATTGTTGCAAATTGCACTTGCAGAAGTGACGGAGATGGCGTTCGCAGGACGCCACGTCATGCTGTCCCCGTCTGTGCCACTGCATCCCCCCTCCTTCCTGTGCACTGCCTGTCTTCCTGTCCTCTTACAGAAGCTGGACGACATAACAGAGGTGGCGTTTGGGGGCCGCTACGTGATCCTGCTCATCTCCATCTTCTCCATCTACACTGGCTTCATCCTCACCCGCCTCCTGTGCCACTGCCTGCCCCCACACCCGCCCCCTGTGCCACTGCCTACCCCCCTGCCTGACCCTCTTACAGAAGCTGGACGACATCACAGAGATGGCGTTTGGAGGGCGCTACGTGATTCTGCTCATGTCCATCTTCTCCATCTACACTGGCTTCATCTACAACGAGTTCTTCTCCCTCGCCTTTGACTTCTCCCTCTTTGGCGGCACCGCCTACCACTGCCGCACGCCCGACTGCCAGTCAGTGCTCCTGCTGTCTCTGCCCCTCCGTTCCCTCGCTTCGCCTCCACTCTTTCCCCAGCTCCATTCCTTCCCTCACCCTCCTTTCCTTCCCTACCCACCGTACCACCGCCCTACGCCTGACTGCCAGTTTGTTCTCCAAGTTCCATCGTCTCTCTCTCCCTCCCCGTCTCTGCCTTCCTTCCCGTCGTTTTACCCCCTCTTATCCCGTCCATTTCCCTTCCATGCATCCCATAGTCTCCCTTCCCTCCCTCCACTCCCTCTCCTCTGCTCTCTTCCCTCCCTTACCTCGCTTCTCTTCCTTACCTCCATTCGCCCTCGTCTCTTCCCTCCCTCCCCTCGCTCTCTTCCTGTTGCGCACATGTCTCGCGTTCTGTGCCTGCATCATTGTGAGAAGGACGGAGCGACTTATCGCTTTTAGCGATCCGGAATGGAAGGGGTCGTCAGTGCCCCACATGCCGATCCTCACATCTTTGAAATATCTGGTTCCCCTCACCTGCCCGAACCCCTTCCCAGTGACTCAGCCATGGCGGGGCTGGTCAAAGGACGGGGTGACCTGTCTTCCTCAGGGACCGCAGAAGTTGACACTTACCCCTTCCCAACCCCTCTCACCTGCCCGAACCCCTTCTCAGTGACTCGGGCACGGTGGGGCTGGTGAAGGACGGGGCAACGTTTGGCATGGACCCGGCATGGAAGGGCATGAAAGTGTTGTTGCTCATGTGTCCCGTCATTTTCACTTTCCCAATCCCCTCTCCAGTGACTCGGGCACAGCAGGGCTGGTGAAGGACGGGGCGACGTACCTGTTTGGAGTGGACCCGGCGTGGAAGGGGTCGCGCACGGAGCTGCCGTTCCTCAACTCGCTCAAGATGAAGATGAGCATCATCCTCGGCGTCACTCAGATGTTTGCCGGCATCATCCTCTCCTTCTTCAATGCCCAGTTCTTCAAGAAGCCCCTCAACATCTGGTCAGTCTTAGCAACATCTGATTGGTTGGCTCTTTGGGCACAGCGTGGAAGTTTACAGTGTGTGGTTGGTATTAGCAGCGGCATTTAGTGAATATGAATCATGTCTGGTGGGCACACCGTACACCGAGGTGAATCATCGCTCCCCATTCGTCCATGCGTTGAATAAA